CTATTATGTCATCTTAGCAAGATTTCATTCTAAGAAAATGCTGGGTCAAGGGAAAACACAAAGATAAACACAAGTGAAATCTAAGAATGGTTGTTGTTGTTAGCAAATCTTGTTCTGACTTTAATCATTCTATCTACTGATAAACAGCATGTCAAGAAAATCTAGGTCATTAAGGTATGTCATGAATTACTGGCTTAAACCTAAAAGTATTAATTCTACCACATGCCCCCATCTGATCATTAAATGATCAAGTAAATGATCAATGAAACAAAAAACAACTCTATAATGTATTAAACAGATTATGTCAACACAAACCTAAGTATATGTAATTTTCAAAAATCCCAACCCCAGTGATTCAATTTTTATTTCTCCCACAGTAATTACTAACCCCAAAACATAATTGTCACACAAAAGTCTTTGGATCATCTTGAACACAAACAGGCTTGTCTGTTTTCATATATGGAAGAATCAGAGGTTGTGGTGGGGCTCTGCAAATTTTCGTAGAGGTTGGTTTAGTGCCAGGAGCTGGAAGATGAGGGTTACGTGGATTTGGGCATGGTGTTTGTTGGATCCTAATCTCACCAGGTTCTTCCACGTTGTTAGTAAAATCCAGGAGGGGGCATTCCACTTGCTGTCCTGTTGGGGTCTRAGAGWRCAYGAGATCCTCTGTTTGTGATGCTGATGAATCCAGTTGTTCTTCCGGTTCTGCAGCTTGAAGTAACTCCTCTCTCTCTGGTTCTGATTCTGCAACAGTCTTATTATCAGTAACTTGCACACTGTGTTCAATCGATATCTCATTTTTCTCCAGCTGTCCTTCAGACATCAGCTGTTGTGATTTCTCCTGTTTGTTTCCAGCCGGAACTTTGTTCAGATAATACTTCATATTGGAAGCCAGAAGTTGTGCTACAGTTTGATTCAGAGACAGCCCATCAGACTTGAAAAGATGTTTTCTCTCCCAAAAGAGATCAAAATTATCCACAAATCTCAGAGTGGTCAGCACAGGACTTTTCCAAAAATCCATTAAGGGCAAACAGCCTGCTGAACCTCTCGGCCTCTCCTCTGGCTGCAGGAACGGGCCCACTGAGGAACACATCCATGTTGAGATTCTTAACTGCATTCAGCAGCAGAATGAAATCCTTCTTCAAGATTTCTGACTGTCACTTTGTAACTTCATCACTTCCTGTATGAATGATGAGCGTCTTCAGAGCTGGATACTCAGCTGTTATTTCCAGAACCTTCTCTGCGAGGTCAGACACTTTATCAGCAAAACTCAGAACTTTGACTTTTTTCTTGTTCTAGAAGCCTCTGATTTCATTCACCATTTTATCTGTGATAATCAGCATTTCTTGATTCTTGAAAGTCTCTTTTTGGACTTGTTTTGGCTTTGAGCTGAATCAGATTTCAGGTCCCTCTCTGAGGTCAGAACATGACCTTTGTTCAGACTCACCAGTTCCTTCCAGTGGTGTGAATCTGTTTTGAATAAAGACTGCTTCATTTATCTGGCTGTTATCAGTTGTTTTGATTCCAGCCTGTCGTTGCTTCCTTCCCCTTGCAGGTGGAGAAAAAGCATTTCTCTATAATTCTGGCCATTCATTGTCATCTAAGAACTGAATCCTACCTGAGAGATTGTTTGGTTTGGCACCAAGAGAGTTCCATACAGCTTTACTCTCAGAAGCAGCTCCCATCTCCTCTTCCTGTGGATCTCTCATCTCAGCCTTTTCAACCATTTGAACGCATGTTGTGTTCTCCAAAGCATTCATCTCCTTCAAACAATGAATCTTGAGCTCCAACACCATCACCTTTTGGAGAAGCTGGCAGAAATCCTCTTTATAAAAGAAAGGAGGCATCTTGAAGCTTTTACAGTATTCACTCTCAGCAGATGATGTTTCAAAAATCTTCTCAGGTTCTTCAACAGCCAAAAATAAAATCCAATGTTCTCTGCTTATTCAAGATACTCCATCACAATTGTCACCAGCATATTTCTGTTGTTAAAAATTTTACCATAAAAAGGTTCTTTTGATCCAGCTGGAGTCACAGTTCTGAGCAGTCCTTGCTCACWCATATCAGTCCACCTGCAATGTGGCCTTGGTCTGTTGATCTCCTAGTGGGTCCTGCGACAACGCCAACTGTTATGGAAATATTTATTTAACAAAGACAGAAATACATGGTCCAAGAATGAAGGTACTCCATGGAATGATCAGCTGAGTTTTATTGCAACAACAACACAGAGAACAACATCAGACATTGAATTGTCCCCCTGCTCGCTGCTCTGTGCTTCTGCCTCTACCTCCCCTAAGAGAGTTGAGAGGCCTCATATATGTATTGTTTAACAAATACTATTATGTCATCTTAGCAAGATTTCATTCTAAGAAAATGCTGGGTCAAGGGAAAACACAAAGATAAACACAAGTGAAATCTAAGAATGATTGTTGTTGTTAGCAAATCTTGTTCTGACTTTAATCATTCTTTCTACTGATAAACAGCATGTCATGAAAACCTAGGTCATTAAGGTATGTCATGAATTACTGGCTTAAACCTAAAAGTATTATTTCTACCACACATTTATTTATCAACACATCTATTCACTTATTCATTTGTCCATCCATCCATCCATCCATCCATCCATCTATCCATCCATCCATCCCTCCATCCATCATCCATCCATCCATCATCCATCCATCCATCCATCCATCTATCCATCCATCCATCCTCTGTGCCTTCATGATCATGTTTAGGAATTTAAGGAAATCATTTCATTTTCAGGAGTTTTGATAGAGTTAAAAAAAAKAAAACATTTTCAAATTTTTAATGCTGACTGAACAAACAGCATTTTATTGATATTCACTGTGTTTTTGTCTTGTTCCCTGTGCTCAGATTTGACAATTCATCTCTGTGGACTGTCCACGTTGGGCTGACAGAGCAGCTGATCCATGAAGCCCTGTCWCTGAATGTAAAGTCCATCATTTACCATGCTCAATACCGACCCAAAGGCCTGGACCATGACATTGCATTAATGAAACTGGAGAAGACACTGGTTTTTAATGGTATTCTTTTTTTTTTCTTGAGTGAACTATTTCTTAAAGTCTGCTTTTTGCTCTTTTACACAATTTACAAAGAAAAACTTTCTTTTAGTTGTCTTCCTTTCATGGTTGAAAGATCTGCTGCTTATTTATAAATAATTCAGATGAATTTTTATCAAGTTAAAAAGGAAGCCAAACTAACCTCCAATTAATAATACACATTACACTCTGTGTCCTGATGAATCTCAATAATCCAYGTAGAAAAAAAATAAGAAAAGTTGAGTAGGTTCTTTGGATGAGTTGTTTTTTATGGAGGTAAATTTGTGTTTTTATGATTCAATCAAACAAAAAGCATCTTCAATCCAAGAAAAAATTTCAATCAAAAAAATTTTTTCAACCAAACAAAAAATAAATTCAATCAAAATTAATATTTTCAACGATTATTTAATTTAACTTTGGCTGGGTTTTTTTTTATGGAGGTAAATTTGTGTTTTTATTATTCAATCAAACAAAAAGCATCTTCAATCCAAAAAAAATAATTTCAATCAA